GGGAAGAGTCTGAAGCATCTTCTTCCATTCCAGTGCTTGGTGGCTCCCTGGTGCTCCACAGGAGCAGGCGCTGTGGGATATTTAATTCCCACATTCACCCTTTCCCTGAGTGCTTCACTTAAAAAAAAATCAAAACCAGATTTCTCCTCTGAGACAGGGACGATCAGACCTGTGGGCCTGAGGCAATTTTTTTGTAGTCTTCAGCCTTTTTTTGGGGGTTATTTGAGCCCTCAGAGTCCCTTCCCTGTCCTTGCAGCCTTTTCCACTGGAAAAGCATATGGGAAGTTCATAGGTCTAAGTGCTGCTTTCTCACTGGTTTTGGGTCAAACAGAATGAAAAAGAAACAAGGACTGAAAAATAAAAGGAGTAAATGAAACCATGAATGCATGGGAAACAAATTAACTGGATATGTTTTACATTCTGAAATATTTCCATAATGCTGCTATGTAGTGTGTGTTTATTTTTCTTTGAATAATAATGTTAAAATGTGTCTAATTCAATTACTCTCTGCATTTGCTGAATGAGTTTTCCTTGGTGAAGGGCTCTCTACACTACCCCAAGCTACGAATTCCATATGATATTTGAACAGGTCCTTTTAATTGCTGATATTAAGTGTCGATCATTCTGCTGGGAGTTGGCAGCATGGCCAGAGAAACAAATTCCTCTCTCAGATACATCAGACAGTCATTCAATTAACAACCAAAGCTTTATTGACACAGTAGGAATTCATTATGTGAAATATTAAAAAAAGCCCTCCACTGACTAGTTAAAAAAAAAAGACTTTTAAAGATGGTAGATTATCTGCATGTGGTTATTAAAATTATTTGTGCAGAATTCAAAATTATGGTTATGATGGAAACATTTTTTCTCAGAGGCATGAGCAGCATTTTTGTTGAAAACATAAGCTGGACTTTGAAAAGATGGCTATAATGTGCACATGCCTATTTCCGCAGACATTGTGCATTTTCTTGATTAAAAGCCTGAGATTTTATGAGTTATGGCTTTAGCGTTACTGCATAAAGAGCTTCATGGCTTATTCTGTTAGAGTCTAATTTGAAAGAAAGTTCTTCCTCAAGGGTTTAAGAAGTAATTCATAAAATGGTAAGAATAATAAATATTGTGCCTTAACTCATACACTAGGATAGATAGACAGATTTTGTACACCTGGGTGTAATTTTAGTTAATTCACACAAGAGACAGGCTGAAAGTTTATTGTTTGGAAGGAGAAAAATGGCTTAAATCTTGTATTTGCAAAAATGATTATATTAGCTTAAATGAAAATGCTACTCTATTAATGGCTTCAATAAGCTATGCATTTGGAAAAGTATTTTAATAAAAAGTTACCTGAAGTTTACTGCAACTTAAAATATGTAAGTGAGGGAAAAGTACTTACCTTGATTTATATGTCTTTTGGAGGTGTAATTATTGGCTTTTTACTCACCTATGTAAAACAATGTACTTTTGTAAATGGATTTCTGGCCACTTTACTCCTTTTTTTTTTTCCACATAAAAAATAAGCACTGTCAATCAAAGAATTTTAAGGTTTATTTCCTCTTTAGAAATGATTGATAGCCTTTTAGATTTACAAGTTGACAAGTTAAAGGGTTCTATTGGTATAATTATGTACTAAATTCACAGTCTTTCAATTTAAATGTCCTTTTAAAACCACAAGATTATCATACCTGTATTTTGAAAAGTGGGCCAGTCAGTTTGGGTTGGTATACAAATTGCTTCCATTAGCCTTGGGACCTATTTGAATTTAGTACAGTTTTTTAAAGTTAGTAGTACTTTCAATGGTACTTTTAAAATATAAGGTAATGGGAATGCATTTTAAGTACCATATGTGTTAGCTTGTTTTTAATGTACGGATGTCAAGAACACAAATAGAGAGTTTGTATTTCTGATTGATTCTTTTTTTTCCAATCATGGAAAGAAAGCTGTTATTTGAATTAAAGGTGTGGGAAATGCCTTATTGTGGATGGACTTCAGCAGCAGACACCAGCCATGTGTACAGGGGCAGAGGAAAACCTTGCAGGGGGATGTGTCTGACCTTGTAGCAGCTCTTCTGCAGGGCTTGGAGATGAGAATATTCCCTTTTTTTGGAGTTTTTCCATCTTCTGACACACAACTGGTCTGGTGTAATGCTGAGGGTGGGGTTAAATATGTGAACAGATCTGTTTTGTTGAGAGATGATTAATTACATTTGGGTTGTAAATGAACAAGGACTGGAGGGCTGAAATTGTCCAATCTGTCCAGACAGCTAAAAATCTTTTTTTTTCCTTTTTTTTTTTTTTTTTTTCAATTCTATGTAAGATTGAAAGGTTGAAGGGGTATAGACTAATGAGTGGTATTTAACAATAGCAGTTTAGGATCCAGTCCTGCAGATTGGTGTGTGCAGCCTCTCCCCACCACTAAAGCAAAGCTGAAGCTGTTTGAAACTGAAAGTTTTCACTATCTCTCACGGTATGCTTGATGCCTTCTGAGATTGGACCATAAAATTAACATTTTTTTTTTTGGCCATTTAGTTCAGAAAATATTCAGAGGAAATACTCTGTGGATTTCAAATGTGTTGAACGTGTAGGAAGATATGAGAAAATGACTGCTAACTCTGGGGGGATTTCAGAACTGGCCTCCATTTATAATATTGCAGAATTTAGTAACTACTTTCCCAAAGGATCTAAAGGGAAAATGGCCATAAACTAGACTGAATTAGAGGAGAAACACATTTGGCAGAACCACACTAAAATCTTTGAACATATTTGCAAAAGAAATTAAAATTTGATCTGTAGGGTTTTGTTGGGTTTTTTTTCATATTCTCATAGAACAGCTATTTTTGATAATAAATATAAGTAGCAGTCAATTAATTTATTTGAAAAAGGATTTAAAATAAGGAACCTTATAAGTAAACTCAGAGGTAAGGAAACCAGGGGGTTCCAAACCAAGGAACTGGGATATTTTCTGGAAAACTACACAGCAGAGGGGTCAGTGTGGGCCAGGGTGTGAAAGGAAATGTAGGAAAAAAGGCCCAACCATCCCAAAATCAAAAGGGGCCAAAGCAAGGGAAAAGCCTTATGCTCACTCCTTCCATAGATAGAAATAAAATATTTCTATCCTTCCTGGATAGAAATAAAAGATCACATTCAGATATTCCTGATGAAAGGAACTACCTGAAAAATCTCAAACAAACAAGGAGACTGGAGGGATGTCATGAGCTCAGAAAGTAAAACCCTGAAGGATTTCTAATCTAGAGTTACCATAATACTGCAAGACTCATTTCAGGGTATGGTCAGAAGGTTCCTTTCTGGGGTGAGAGGATTGCTGAGGTCCTGCTGGCCCATGGACCACGTGCCTCTCCAGGCAGTCCCATCAGCCCCACGTTGGTGTTTCACCGTGTTGGGTCGGTCTGCATCCCTCAGCATCACCTTCCTCTGCCTCAGCCTGCATTGCTGGATGAGCTTATGGAGATGGGAATTTGACCCTTTGCTTGTCCGCTGGACAATCTGCTGTAGAAATGTGGTTTGAAAGTAACAGTAATTTAAAGAGATTGTTTTGTGGGCTTGTTATGGAATGCCATAATTAATTACAAACAAGCCAGGGATTAGGTACTGGTTTCATGATAACATGAAAATCTTTAGAAGTATGGAAAAATGTTCATGTAAAACATGGAAATATGGACAGGTTATGCCATGTTGGAGCTGGGAGATGGAGTGTAATGCTAAATCTTCTTGCAATGTTCAAAAATCGTCATTCTAGCTGCATAAAAGAGTTCATAATAAGACCCTCATAAAGATATATATTCGTAAATTAGTAAGACTTTGTGTGAGAAATAAATTTTTTTTTGCTATTAATAAGCTAAGACAAGAGAAGAAAGACTTTAAAGTGACTCAAAAATGAAAAAAAACATAATTTTTTTTTCTCCTCAAAAAAAAAAGGTTGAAAATACAAAAATCCACATTCAGATTGATTTTTTTTTTCCATTTAACTCAAAAAATTTGAACAAATTGCTATGGAATATTTCCACATCTCTATTGGCATGGGAGAGTCAAGATGTACTGTTGTTTAGAGATGCTTGAGAATACTTGACTGTTCCAGTTCACCAAAGCACTTAGGAAATTCTAAGCACATGTTGAAGTCTCACTAACATCTGAGTTTTAAAGTGATCATATGACTGGAAATATAGCTAGAAGGTCATTCAGTGCAGTCCCCTGTAATTATAGGCAATCATATAAAAAACATAATATGCTCAAATTTGCTTTGCTGAAAGCAAATGGGTTTAAGTATGTGCTTACAGATAAGCATGTGCTTAAAGGCTTGACACAATCAGAGCTTCCATTAATGCAGACAGACCAGCATTTTCATGAAGATTAAAGTGTTCCACTTTCACCATTTCTCACCTCCATTTTATTGGACAAGGACTAGGGAAAGATGAACTAAAAACATTGATGTATTTTTTTTTAATTATTAGGTCTCCTGGATCAGTTTAGTGCTGATCAGAGCCTAAGCTGCTGAAGTCAGTGTCAATGAGTAAAAAATAAAACCTCTGCCAAGACAATTGCCTGCATTTCACAACAAAATGATTTGTGACCATTGCACATGGAGCATATTAAATATATAATGAAATTTGGAACAAAAAAGGCACTGGAGTAGGAACTACTTTTGCCTTCCAATCACCTTCCTCGTAATATGAAAAACTCAACATGAAACATGGGTGTAAAGTATTTATCACATTGATTTCATAGTGCCTTTCAGAGACATTAATTGCTTCCTGTTTGGAAGATGCATGCAACATCCCCAAACCTTCCAGCAGCTCTGCTGGAGGAGCTGAAGTGTGAAGGTTTGGATGGAATTCAAAGGACCAACCTCAAGCAGTGTTTGGACCAAGACCTGAGTCAGTGCTGAGTTCCAAGGGGGTTTTGCCATGGTCCCATGGTACATTTGCCATTGTCACCTGAGCCCCTGCTGTGCCTTTGTCACCTCACCTTTGTTTGTTGTTGTTTCAGCTCTGAACGAACCCACCATTGACTACGGTTTCCAAAGGTTACAGAAGGTTATCCCCCGGCACCCCGGTGACCCCGAACGCTTGCCAAAGGTCAGCACAAAGTTTATTGTTCTGTTAAATGTGGTAAAGATGGGTTATTGCACGTTTTTGTCTGAAAGTGCCTATCTGTGAATATGATGGTCCTGGTTTGGTACCCAACCCAGATGAGCTGAAACAGAGGCATGACCAAGAAAGCCCAATCAGCAACTGGAGCCTTAGGAGAATTCTGTTATCTTCTCAAACAGCTCTTGCCTTAAACACAAATCTTTCTCTATGTTCTAAAATATGTAACAATGCACATATTTTTTGGTTAAATTTTGGGACCTGAGAAGTGTTTTTATGGAATAATGATGCTTTTTGGTTTTGACATCAGTAGCACTTTGGCAGCATAATTTTGAGAACTTCACCATTGATAAAATCAAGTTAATTGGATGTGACTGCATTGCTGCTGCATCATGTATTGGTTTAGGGTAATAATGATTATATACTGTTTTATTTCAGAATTGCTGATTTAATTAGAGCATTGTGTACTGAAGTGATGTTCATTCTCATGAAAATTAGTGAGGTTTTTTGTTGATTTCTGTCAAGTAAAACCTGGGGGAAAGACAGCATTGTTCAGATAGGTTTCTTGTACTGGGAAAACACTGGGATTGCACTCAGATCTGGTTTTGTAGCTTGCAAGAATTTGCAGTGACTTTTGTGGTACACTGGAGTAAGAGATGGGCATTTAAGTTTTGCTGGTGTCCACAGGAGCTCTGAGCAATGGTGATGATGTGGAGTCACTGTGGCCAGCTGCCACCACATGTTTTATCTGCTGTTACTGAGTGAGCTGGGGAGTCAGAACACTCCCTGTGGAAAAGAAAATGTGAATTTGCAGACCTGACACACAGACAAATGAATTGTTCAGTTAATGTACATCCAGTATAGTCTTTGTGACTGGGCAATACTTGTGACCTTTCTTCTGTAGCTCCCTGAGCTGTCCACAGGCTTTCATCAGGGATTGTTGTAGGTTTTGATTAGTTGCATTTCTAAAATGTTTGAAAGGTGAGGAGATTTCCTGAACACTGGAACTTAATTTGTTTAATTCCTTGAAAGAAATAGAAGTCAGTATGTGACTTTTTTTTACAGGCTTGTTCTGTCTTTTATCTTTGCCTGGGAAGGCTGCAGGCTGTGGTTTTGGGGTCATTGATGTGTTGTCCTTCCCTCTTCCCACCAGAGAAACATGCTGTCCTGGGGAGTTACATTTACCATTGGCTCTGTTCACCCTCTGCAAGCTGTCCCTTTCCCTAACATTTGGACAGACTTGCAGCAGGACACAGCTTTCATGGCTTGTCAAGTTTCACTCCAGAGGTGCAACCCTTTCCAAAGAAAGAGAGCATCCTTCTGTAGGGGCTTTTTTTTTTTTTTTTTCACCTCTATCCTGCCTCTGCTGCCAAATGTACTTCTGGAGAAAAACAGTTTCTCAGAAAATAAGATGCCAGCTTGCACTATGCACCAGGCATTTGCAAGGTCCAAAGGAACTACTGCAAAACTTCCCTAAACCCAGCATTCCAGCTGGCTACTAGATAGCCATAGATTTTATTTAAATCAGGAAATTAAAGTAAAATAAACCTGGACAATTCCAAATTGAGTTACGTGTCTAAGGGTTGTGATGGAACAGGAATTGGGCTCCTTGTTGGCTCCTGAGGCACTGAGAGGATCCCCAGCAATGCCCCTTTGTGCTGGTATGGAAATGTGGGAATGCAGCCTCCAGGATGAGCACCCTCCTCTCTCCCATTTGGTCTGACACTGGTACCACACATTTCTGCAGGCAGAAGAAAGCTTCTCCTAGCTCCATATCCTGATTCTGAAATTTAGCAGGTATTTATGGATAAGGTATGAGTGAGGGTTAGCACTCAGTCATCTGTCCCCTCCTCTACCCTCTTGGCTACCTGTGTTTCTTTGGAACATCTTTTAAACTGATTTTTTAAATCTTTAAATCAAGGGAAATTGTGGTTATGTCTGGAGAGCTAAGATGTGATGGCCTAAAAAACAAGGTCACTCCTTTAGGGTTGGACAAACTCAGCAAAGAAACTGGTAACACTGTGCAAGCTTAGAGAGAAACAGGATGTAGAGAGGACTTTTTTTTGTCTTTGGGTAATTCTTTCTGTGCAAGCTTGAAGGTTGGACCTCAAGTTCAAGTCTCATTAATATGCCACGCACAGAGGCTGAATGCAGCAGGGGTTGGCACATGTCGACTCCTGTGTTTGAGGCACTGATGGTTCAATTCCCAGCATCACTTGCTGGCTCCAGGATCAGCATCAAGGACGTGTGAGCCCCTGTGCTGGTGAGCACTGCACAGTGCTTTTCCCCATGTCATTAAACCAGGAAGGGCTTTGGCAGGGTTCCACTGCAGACAATTCTCAGTGGCTACTTAGAGGAGTGTTGGAAGCCATATGGCTCCCACAGTGGAACCACGGGCAGAAAGGGCAAATGTTCCAGAGAAACAGAAGAGAGGAGAGCAGTGCTCAGAGCTCTCAAAATCCTTCCTTCCATTTCCCCCCTTGTCCTGGCAGCACATCATCGCTTTCTGTTCACAAACATAAAAATCTTGTGCCTTTGCATTAAATAAACAAAGCAAATAATATTTCTCTAATTGCTGCTAGGGTTTGTGGCCATTATTCCATTGAAACATTACTGATGAATTAGAGATCTTCCCAGAGATAGAAGTGGTTATAATTTTTGTGTTCATAAGGGCATGCTGCCCTTCCCATGAACCATCAAGAGCATTCTGCTCTGTGACTTATCCCTGCAGTCAAGGAGAATTGTTCAGACCATCAAGTGAGTGTTAGCACATGCTCTGCCCTTCAGAGTTGAGGAGTTAACAGCATTTCTAACACTACTGAGACTGTTAGAGAAGTTTGATCTCCACAAGTTTAGAACCACTATTTTCAAAAATGCTCAATATTTATACTCAGGATGAATTTTTTGAAATTTTCCATCTATCTGCTTGAAATAGGCAAAGAAAAAAAAGGACAGATTTTAAAAAATAATTTCTCCTTCCTGGTGCTTCAACAGGCAAATTCCAGTAGAAAATGCCCTCCCACAGTGAGGAGAATGGGAGCACCTGGAGATGAGGGTCTTTGGGCTGCTAGATTGACAGCTGATGTGCTTAACGTAGAAATGCAATATATAGTTTCTGGAGAAAAGAGAGAGGGAGCTGGTGTTAGCAGCTGAGCTATGGAGCAGTTTGAGCCAGAATCCAGGTCCCTTGCTGTCCAGAGCAGGTTGGGGAAGGCAGCCAGTGGAAGGAGATGTGCATGTCTGTACAGACACCCCCACACCCACAGGCACCAGGAGGAGAGACAAGAGGTGGTGGGATTAGCACCCAAAGCTTGGAGGGAGATCAAGTACCAGGAGTGTGCTGGGCAGTGTAGTCTTTCCTTTCTAATACAGACAGGGGGCAGATCAGAGGAAACAAGAGACCTCTGGGGATAAGAGAAAAGGAGCACTGTGATGCTAAGGTTGGGAAATGCTGTCATTGTCCTGCAGGAGCAGTCTGCAGGGAGCCTGTGTGGAGCTGGGAGCAGCCCTGCATGTGTGTGTGCCCCATTTCCATCTGGAGTGATTGCACACGTGCACACAAATGCACTCGTGTTGTTGGTTCCTGTGCACATAAACTGCAGTGGAGATCACTGAAGAGTTCAGATCACAACAACATGTTGAGTCTATTAAGGTTCATTCATGTAACTACCCTGCAATCCTTAAAATAAATCCCTGGCAGACACGTTGCAATTCTGCAATTTTGTTAAAACTCCACAGCTAGAGCTGTAAAACAGCTTCAGCTGTGAGCTAGATTTGAAACACATCCATCCTAAATGATTTAATAACAACGATTCCTCTTTATATGCAATTTCCTAGATTTTATTTGCCATTTTCACCACTCCTACAACTCATCACTTGTATTTAGATTAAGCAGAAGATTGTTCACTCTGTGTTTGAGCAGCGAGTCATTGCACCAACCCCCTCTGTGATCTGACGTCCTCTCCCTCCCAGTCTGTTCCTTCAGTGCTCTCTAGGAGACCCCTTATCCCTCCTGAAAGGGACCTTTACTTCTGGTTTCTCTTCATGTAGATGAAAGTGGAGCTTCTCTCTCTAGTGCACAGGGGACTCCCTGCTGAGCTGAGAGCACAGGTAACCAGAATCCTCCTTCCCTTCAGCTCCTTTTCTCTGGTCAGTCATTAAACCCCCCCCAGACACAGCCCAGCTCCTCGTTTAGGACACTAATAAAAGACATGTGGTTTTTAGGAATCAGAGGCTGGCAAAAGCAGTTGTCTTTTTCCATATGAAATCCCACAGATCTGCCCTTTATCCATCGTGACATGGGTATTGTTTATATTGCAAATAAAGGTTGTCTCTAAACGTGGGTGGTTGGCCCAGGCTTGCTAGCAGAGGTTAAAATAGCAATGAAGACAATGCAGCTCAGGTTTGCTGCTTCAGACAGACCCAATGGAAATTCCAGAAAGGACTGCCATCTACTAACTCAACATACACTCTATTTTAACCTAAGATAGTAATTTACAGCTAAGAAAACACTTTTTTTTTTCTCCCACCCAGTGTAACAAGAGAGTCATTAGAAAACTTTTATACTAAGTGTGGGCAGGAAGGGGAGGAATGTAAAAGAGGAGCTATTGGAGTTCAGCTGTACAGCAAGGAGGTCATAGGATGTGCTTGTAGGGCTCTAGGAGGTCATGAGATGTGCTTGGAGGGCTCTTCATTCTACTGTAAAATTTACAGGAATATGAGACCAGAGTTAAGGTTGGTATTGAACCCTTAACAGCTGGGTTTTTAAAGTTCCCTAGCAATTTGAGCTCCTGGTTGAGGAGCTTGTTTAGGGGGTCTGGTATTTTGTTTATCCCATAGAAAATATTCAACAAGAGAGCATCAAACTTCTGAGATGGTGAGGTAGCTGTGCAAATGTCACCCTTATGGGGTGGTGGATGTCACAGGGGTGTCTGGGAATATGCAGAGCCTGAAAGGAGAGAGCAGAGGGACAGAGGCAGCGCCCGCTG